CCCCAAAACCCCAAAACCCCAAAACCCCAAAACCCCAAAACCCCATTGCAAATAATAAATATTGAATAATTCCCCTTGAACCCTGAATAATGTCAGAAGAGCTAAGCAATAGCTTATCCCAGTTGGTCTTGAAGAAGGAATGAGAGTTTGAAATGGCCTCCATGACCAATAAGCCTAAATCCGTCCAGAAAATGAAAATGGAGTCTCTAGTGAAGGCTTATTCTCATGCAATAGAGTATTACCAGTCTATAGAGTCTGACCTATTCGCTGATATGACTGTAAAGTTACAGCAATTCTTGATCAAACCAGAGACCCTCGCCCTCATGGCTGATGAAGATGAAGATTCAGAAGAATTTGAGGAGGACAAACTTCTACAGCTTCCTGAACCTACATTGGAGAATAATGTTAGTGACACATCGCAGATATCTACTAAACTTCGGAGGTTTTGTAGAATGCCAACTCCAATGAATAATTCAAGGAAAGCTGCAGATATTAAACCAGAGAGTAATGGTCAGGCTTAATAATTATAGATCCAACAAAGCCAAAGCCCTCAAGAGTTCCTGAGAGTAGGCAGAAAGACAAGATCAAAGAGAGACCAGTCAAGGAAATAGAAAATACTCAAAGTAACAATGAAACCAAGCGACAAAAATTCTTAGCTGAACTGAGAGGTAATTCTCCAACTAATTTCATAGGTGGACCTGAGAAACCGGATGATGGAGATGATGCTATTCATCATAAGAGAGAGGCTGGTAACAAGGCTAAAAGGAGCTTTAAAAGGGTCAAGAACTACCCAGCTACAAAGGGCGAATCCTCCTATGGTGGAGAAATATACAGACCAAAACTTCCTCCTAAACTTGCTGATAAATAAGGAAAAACATCACCTCATGCTTAACGAGAATAGGAGAGCATCGGAAATTATTAAGAAGCAATCTAGCGAACTTGTACGTCAGATTGATAATAATGGGGATAATATTGCCAAAGATATTGTTGAGGATGATATTCATGAACAAGAGCAATCACTAAAAATTAGGCTATTGAAAAGGCAAAATAACAAAACCAAGAAGCTTGCTATCAATAATAGCTTCTCCTTCTGGAGCGAATCTTCTATTAGTAGAACTACAGATGATAATTAGATTATTTCAATTTAAAGGTAACCCAATGGGGTTTTGGGGTTTTGGGGTTTTGGGGTTTTGGGG